CTTTCTCCACGATATCTGGCATCACAACCTTGTATACATCTTCAGAAAAGCCTGGTCTGCATGGTGGGGTGACCCTGCCCTCTGCTGCTATCTGTAATGCCATTACAGATAGCAGCAGAGGGCAGGGTCACCCCACCATGCAGACCAGGCTTTTCTGAAGATGTATACAAGGTTGTGATGCCAGATATCGTGGAGAAAGGACATCCCCTTTTTAATGGTAAGTGATCAAATATTCCCAGGATGCGTGTTGTGTCTACGTTTGTTTGAGTGTGTGTGCGCTTGCCTCCATGTTTTACATTTCAGGGAGGATCAGAACAAGCCTGACATATTTAAACAATTAGCCTCTGTTGCTGTGCTGTATTGCAAGTCGTGTAGTTTGCCTTGTAAACCAGCACAAATGTGGTTCAACTTAACTATATAGCTCCTGTCAATTCAGCCACCATGCTGTTTTAGCTTTCTAAAGCAGACATACACATGAGCGTATTGTTACTTTAATGCTTGATCATACATTGTGGCTAAACTGCTGGCTTTGTGATTTTAAGTACGGAAACTTCTTTGATTGCACTGACTAGAAAGTCAATTACACACAGATTTGAGTATTTGCACCACTTTAATCAAGCAAATAACCTAGCTATTAAACATTCCATGCCTTGTGCTGATGCATTCAATCACTACCTTAACCATATGCCTTTCTTTTGCATTTGTCTTCTCTTTTATTTATAATTTCTTCAGTACCGATTCAAACCATATGCAGGAAGTATTTCTTCTCTCTGTTACCTTAAACACTTTTATGCCTAAGAATAAACGCTTGAATGACATCGTTATGCATCCGTTTGCAGTGTTGCACTGCTCAGCCCAGTAATAACAGCCATTTAAATACCTTTCAAAAATGTTTGTTACAGCGATAGTCTTTCTGTGTGGAAACCCAGATGTAATAGGTGTAAACATAACATCCAAACAACAAAGTGAAAAATAATGATTTTCTTAGCCCATTAAATTGCAGCAAGCATGACCAATACTGCCTTTTAGGCGTTTAATATTGACAACTTGAGTACGCAGCTACCATGAAAGAGTATGCAGGCATACAGACGATAATAAAAACTGGAATATATCACCAGTGTGCTATCAGAGAGGTTAGAGCCTTGAGGTCATTTGGACCAGAAAACATTCTCACTTGTGTTGGATTTCACAGTGTGTGCCTAAAACTTGCACGCTGCCGTCATAGTGAGTCAGATAGGTGGTGGGGGAGGTAGCAGTGACGAGCGAAGAAAGGAGAGAGGGAAGAGAGTGTTTAGATGGGTGGGTACAGCTTTCACTGAGCTTTACCTTGTGCACAAGTTTCCGTTTGATCCTGCAGTTGATGGATTTCCCTGTATTGGCTTGTGGATGAGCCGTGACCGGGGGTAATCAGGTTCCCTTTTGTTTGCCCCCCCCCCCTAACGCTCACACAACCCCCTCTTTTCTTTTCTCTCCCCTCCCCTCCCCCAGCGAGTTGTTGCTCTGTGGAGGGTTCCTTGACAGAGAGGGGCACTCCTGTGTCATTGTAATGAAGCAGGGCTCAGCAGCGTGGGATGATGTTAATGAAACTGCATTCTCTAATGAAAAGCTCCTGTGGCATGTTTTGAAAGACAAAGCCCCCACAGTGGGGAGAGTATGCCCAAAGTTTTTCAACTTTCTTTCACCATGCTGGGTGAGGATATTGTTTTGGGCCAGGAGCTGAGGGTTTTTTCATTCTGTAGCTACATGTAGAGGGCTTAATCTTTAAGTTTCCTCGCATTTCATTAACGTTGTCAATTAAGCCCTGAAAGGATTACATAATGAATACAAACGCATAAATTAAACTTGTTGGAGTTATTTTCTTAAACCATTACTTTAAAGTCTCAACACGTTCCAACAGAATGCATAGGGTTTATCATGTGATAAATAACCCAGTCGGCTAATTCCAGTATGAAACAACTCCTTGTGTTATTGGTTTGTAGTTTAGCTCAGTTGACATAAGACCTGCTTGAATATCTGTGCAATAGTATCCGTACATTGTGTTAGGTGTCAGTAATATGAGTCCTTTGTTCGTATTGTATTGCTTTTGACCCTGGTCTACTGTATGCATGAGACGCAGCAAGAGTGAGCTGTTAGATATCTTTGTCCCATCTAATTGCAGTCTCCCCTATTGTTATTGATCAAGAGAATACACATCCTGTAACACAGTCTGTAACACCTGGAAATGGAGGGCAGTTCACATGTAAACGGCCGACATTCTATGTGCTAAATTAAAAACATCCTGTGGATATGATGATATCTATTATGGCCAACCATTTAAAATAGTTATTAGATTTTACAATTTAATCACATTAGCAACGGCATAAAGTACACTTTAACTGTTAGTTGGCCAAGTGAAGCCCCATTGATTTTCAATAGATTTGTTCAAATGTGTTTCTTTAAAGTTCCTTGGCAGAGCAGCAAAGAGAAAAGCCAGGAAGGACAATTATTCTTCTATGAGAACTCATCTCCAATGATCCATTAAAAGGGAGGTTACACTCATTGTTGCAGATCGCAAAACTAACTCAGTATTAGGGGGTTACCCACTGGTTACCCTCTGGGGCCGAGTTGACCTTGCTTTTGACGTTTGAATATTTTCTCTGACCTGATGCTGAGAGGAGAGAAACGGCCAAACATAGTTACTTATTATCAGACCATCATACGGAAGAAAGGAGCCTTTAGACGTGCGTTTAGTGGTTTCGCTTATCTTGTTTAGTCACTTAATAAAGTGACTTGTTTTACAAAATTGCATTTAATTTCAGGTAGCCTGCAGCTGCGGGGGGTGCTGCTGGGTGTCTAATGGAATTCTGGTGGCTTTGGAGAGCTGACACACATTGTTCCGTTTTTTTTTTTTAAAGATGAGGCCTTTTATAGCGGTGTTGCAAAGTGAGTCAGTCAGAGCATTATTCAGCAGAGGTTTCCCTCCTTAAAAACTGGGTTAATGAAAAGCCCAAAAGCCTAATTGGGCCTAATACAGTCTCTCATGCTGCTGTTCTGCCACCCCTACCCCCAACATGTATCCTGCTTTCATATTTCCTCCCTCCACCTCACACCTCTGTTTCTTCTGTTTCCTCACAATTAAGGAGAGTACGTCTTTACTCTGCTTTAGCCTTGGTTCAAGTGCTTTAAATGTGAGCATGCCAAGAGAGTCAGGGGAGAAGGCTCCACGAAAGGGGGAGGGGTTTACAGTTGACCAGTTTAATAATGTGATTGGGACAATTAGTGTCAACGTCGGCAATGAGAACATGAACTGGAAAGCGCGTTGGGGTTATATATATATCTCTGAGTTTTCAGTTAATCTATCATTAGCTGTAATTACCTCTCTATGCCGTGTTTGTTCAAGGCGAACCTTTTAAACAAACCAAATTTCACCCTTTTGACAAGAAAAACATGGTATTCATGAAATCCTGAGTTTTATGTTGTTCTGGTTCTCTGCGCTCTGTTGAGATCCTGATGGCCCCGGGTACAGCTGGGGCCACTCAGATGTGTTTAAGGGGCCCCGATGTTTGGTCAGACATGACCCTGCTCGACCCTCTCCTGTAAACTGGGCCAAGTGCTCAGCAACGTACTCAACCCTTTCCCCTGCTCTCAGACTGGTGATGGGGCTGGTGGGGGTTTCCTGGTGGGGTGTAGATGAATGAAAGACTAGCCCAAGGGGTCCTGACCAGTCACTAGGGGGGATACCTTACCTCATGTTGTTCTGACCTAGCAAGTTGGTCATCCATCACTCGGAGAAACGGAAAAGGCAAATTTGAAAAGTCCAGGCTTTCAGGTTTATATAGCAAGTTGGGTGGTATCACATGCTCCTTGTCCTATGTGCCAGAAACAATATGGGACTGTTTGTGGAACATTGGCTACTTTAAATGTTATATAGCGCTGTTGTTTATTTAAACATTCATTATAAGTTACCAAATAGCCTGGAATAGGGTATCTGCTGAAGCCTAGTGTCATAAAAAGACTATCTGCCATCATTATTCCTGTGTTTGAGGTGTATGAGGTCTGCATTGATGTCTGTGCTGATGCTGAATAATTCAGTAGTCAAACACGACTTTCTTAATATTCAGATCCCTGTTCAAGATGACTTCCATAAGCTCAGAGGAGCCATCACACAGCAGATGAGAAAAATCAAGAGCATCATGAGACACTGTGAAGCTTTTTAATTGTATAGCAGCTGTGGCATGTTTCACATATTCTCTTTGTCATAGTGCGACATCAATAGCAACCCCTCCATCCTTCTCTTTTTAGTGGGGTTCAAACTCCAGCTCTCCTTTATTTGTACTAGCTCTCGCAGCGGCTTCAGCACAAGTGTGTTAGTAAGAGCAGACCGTTGATCCCCACCCCCCTCCTTTTTTTCAGGAAGTCAATCAATGAATCCAGGGTCTTTGTTTTCAGTGATCAATAGGTTGTAATGAAGGCCACGCTTCAATTCCCAGCTGAAGCATCACTGGCGAGTTAGAGTTGAATTTGCTTTATTCTTCATCGTTGTCAGCCTGCATACATTTCTTTTCATCCCGTCAATGTCTTATTTTTCTTCCTGGGAGCGCCATGGCCTAGATAACCACCACATATTGTGACAACAGATTGAATTTTGGCACTGCATGGTTTTGGAAAGTTAACTCTGGCGCAGTTGGCCTCCGGTCTTACAAGAAAAAGTAGAGCTGGTTGAGTGCTAGCGTCAGGGCTACCACAACTCTTTGTCAGAGGATCACAGTTGCACTCCTTAGGCCATATCGTAAAAAAATAATGAATAGTGTTAGCATATTAAAACAAGTGCACCAATCTGTGGCTAATTTGTGGGTGCTTGCTGAGCCTGCTGGGTGGCATGACAGAATATCGCATATTTTATTTATGTCTGACCTTTTTAGGCTCTAGCTTCTTAACTAAACCAAACGGTAGTCGGAAAATAACCCCTCCATATTAGGAGGCAGACGGATTCTTGAGAAACGCCTTGATGCAGTTAAAGTATTTTGTAGGACTGACATTATCCTGATGGCTTTTCATCACCTCCCTTCATATCGCTGTTATCAGCCACAGGCCCTGCCCTCTGCCATTGGCGCCTAACAGTGTGTGGCTCTGACATTGGACAGGAGTTAAGGTGTCCCTCTCGTGCCTGTGTGAATGTGCGGGGGGTGGGGTTGTCCTTGGCATATAATTCGCTCATTCAACTCAGACAGACGGCTT